CCCCTCATGTACCCACGCTTTGTGCTGGCATCATGTGGGATCGTCGTCGTGCTCCTGCAAACCTTTCCAAGCTGCACTATTCTTGGCCATACGTAAAGTACACTAAAGTGCTGATATGTTCTTCTATGCCAGTATCAAGTCTAGTTTCACAGTTACATTTACCAATGAAGCTGTTGCCCGTACCAGTGTCTTTACCTTGTGGTTGTACTCACCGTTCTGGTTGCTCCAGGAATACCAACCCCGTTAACACTCTGCTCCTCCTATTGCCTTAACAAACGCAGGTTTGTTACCCCTGTGATTCACTCATGGTAATTCAGCTGCTATTCACAGTACTTGATACGAGCCAGATCTTATGGAGTAAATGTGGTGATTGTTGAGTCCTACGTTTTCTCACATGCTGATGACATCTAGACCCTACCAGGTTCTTGTGATTTGAATACTCGCACCTGTGCTGTCACGAGGTACCAACATACACAGGCACTGTTAATAGACTGATGGCATATTCGGCTAACATGTGTCGTCTTAAAAACCAGTTGAAAGAGGCTTGTTATGGGTGAAGACCAAACAGATTGCAACATGTGTTGACTGCTTATTAAGCGTTCTACCTCATTCTGTTTACTTCTCTTGGTCGTATCACTGTCGGTCCTTAAAAAACGAGGTTGCTGTTGATCTGGCTGTCATGCATTTATATCAGCTCAGAGCTTTGCATGTTTGTTCTGAGATTAGTTCATCTGAAGCCCGTGCGTCATTCAAATCATGTCCATCATATCGAACTGGGGTTTGTCAGTTCTGTTACAAAACCGCTTACACATATTTCGCACCTAATACGTGATGACCACTAGAGACTCCGGTGTGACAGAGCCTTGCTGTGACTTGCTTGTATTATACTATATTATACTGCGTAGGGCTCGTTACAGTAGCATACGACAAATCAAAGCACACCAACTAAGGACACACCCCATGCAAACATGAAGCCACATAAGTAAGCACGTTATACATTTACCATTAGAGGTGTGTAAGTTAAGCCAATACATTTTCCGTAGAACACTAGCTTTTGCAAAGAAAAGTCTTCAATCGCAGACACAAGATATAGTTCCGTACATGATACACGGAAGTGGTCTTCGTATAATAACGTCTTCAAGCAGGGATTCGTATGTGGTCTCGTGCAGGACAAAAGGACTACTTTCATGAACATGTTCGGTAATGTGCAGGTAGCTTAGATGCACATGTAATCACATCGCAAGAGTACAGCAGCAACTTCGCATTTTTAGACCGACTGAAAGTCGTCAAACTTATGCACGTGTCAAATGGGTAGTAGAAAGTCCCCATCAAGATTAATTTCCTCTTTTCTAGTGGTATCATGCCGCTGGTCTGAAACAAGCCAAACCAGAACTAAACGAACTCCTGGATGTCTTTAAGACTCCTTTGCTGTGCTAGTTAGTCCAAGCAACAAAATGGAAGTGACGGGATTGACCACCATAATGACAACTGTATGTAAGGGATCTGGCCTGTGAAAGAATCAAACACATAAAGCATGGTGGATATGCTACCTCGTTGGCGACAGTAATAGTAACAATGCTAAAGCAGCAATCCAAGAAGCACAGCATTACCGGTGTCAAGTTTCCGTCATGAACAGCACGAATTCTATAGAGCACCAGAAGACGACCATTCACAGCATGGCAAGCTCGAAATGCAAAATACAAGAAATGATCAAATCTCAATATTCCGTATTCAAACGGATTCAAAACGTATTCAACTGAATACGCCTCGGATCCAAGATTCAAGGTGCAGGGCAAAGTTATCCCGGGCACCTTGAAGCTTGAATCCGGGATCCAAAGCATATTCAATTCAATACATGCTGAATCCATTTGCATGAATCCGCTCTATCTTGTTCCGCGCCGAGAGTTTTGTACTTAACGGTTACGATCTGGAGGCAGCCCTCGAAGTCCCACCAATCCCAATGACCCGCGCAGTCCTCAAGCCGAGATTTAGCAAACAGGCGTGGGTACATGAGGCGGGGTACCATGCATATACAGATACATATATATATATATATGTATATATATATATATGTATATATGTATATATACAGTATATGTACACACATCTACTAAATTTCTATACACACACGCGTACGTGCATGAATACACACACGTATATACATACACATAGAGATTTCTTGTGTATATTCATATGTACCATGCATTGTACTTCCATCTACATGTAAATATACATCTACATCTAATCACTTCCTACAGGAAAAAGGGGGCCTGGTCTGTGATATCATTTTTGGAGAGCCGTTGGCCCCGGAGTGCACACGAAGAGGAACTCAAAAGGGGCAAGACTACAATACAAGTAGCTCTACGTCTGTATGTTTACAGATTCTGGATTTCCTGATTTCCGGCTTTCTGCAGGACATCGCTTTCCGGATTCCAGATTTCCAGATTTGCATGCCCCAAGTTTCCAGTGATTCCAGATTTCCAGAAATCTGGAATCTGGAAACCTGGACTATGTTAGCTGTGTTAGTACGCGCAACTCTCGAATCCGGAAACTTAGGGCGTGCAAATCTGGAATCTCTTGAAACTTGGGGCATGTATCTCTGGAACTCTGGAATCTGCAAATCTTTGGAATCTTGAGTCATAAGCCTGTTATATAATCTGGAAATCTGGAATCTGGCAACCTGGGGCATGTAAAAGCATGAGCATCAGGCGCAGCGAGCATCATGAACATCAATCAGGTTCGGGGCTGCCTAAAAACAAAACCGTTTGGTCCGTTGCCTGGTGCGTGTAAAAACAGCATTAGCGGCCCAAGCGAGCATCATGAACATCAATCGGTTTCGGGAATGATGCCTAAAGCAAGACCGCCTGGTCCGTTCAGTTCCCCTCCAATCGAAGTTTCAAGCCAATGAGTGCTCATCAAAAGCGTCTAGTGAAAAGGAACATGTGATGGGTGCGCAGCTGTGCGCAATTAAATGTGATTCCAAACCTACTGATCTCGTGCAGCACACGAAATCGTGGAAAATTGTCCAGTTGCGTTGTAGCTCAGTGAGTAACGGACTCCTATGCAGGAGTTCAGGAACCTACTAGTAGAATACCCCTTACTTCTATCTATCTAACTATCTATCTACCTACCTACCTACCTACCTATCGATCTATCGATCTATCGGTCTATCTAACTATCTATCTATCTATCTATCTATCTATCGATGTATCGATGTATCGATCTATCGATCTATCGATCTATCTTTCTATCTATCTATCTATCTATCTATCTATCTATGAAGCTATCTAACTATCTATATATCTTCAAGAATTTCATATAGAATACCCTAGGTAATACCAGATAGAATACATCCGTATATACCTTACGGCACACCCTTTAGCCTATAGAATACCTTATCGAATTTTTCCTGTACTATATACACCCTATAAAATACCTTTGATACAATACCTTATGTGCTTTTCTCCTGTATTATACCTTGCAGAAGCCTTGCAAAATACCATCTGGAATACTCTATAGGATGCCTTATAAAGAACCCTATAGAGTGAGACAGCGAGAGACAAACAAAAGCGGGTCGCTGCGATCGTGTCCCATCTTGTACCGTGCACTATGCATCTGATGATGCCAGCTGCGAAAAGCCTGCTGGCAACTGTAAGCTACGAGTTAGTGCGCCAGTGGCGACAAATGCCCCGTATTGTGCTGAAACCGTCACATGTGACCCGAGAGGAGGGGGGATATCCTTGCTTCGGCACGCTAGGGCCAGAAAGGTTCGTACACCCAACACCTCAAGCAGAAAGGTGGAATCTGAAAGCCTTAAAGCCTACGAGTCGCCGATGGGCGAGACCTTGTGTAGTAACGAAAATGTGAGCAACACAAGCGCTGTGCCTCCGGTATGACCACCGGAAAGACTGCCCTTTGGCTCCTTCCTGCCATTCTGGTGAGGTCTTGAAGGCTTCCAGGCTTCCAGGTCTAGCGATTAGGCGTTCCGGAGTTTGGGGCCGTGACAGGCTGTGGATGCTGAAGTCCTTCATGAAACCGGTTGACACTCTCATTTCTTCTTCGGGCTAGTGGGCATGGGAGACGCCATCAAGCCGTTAACGGCAACTGCCGGCACATGATGCAGTGACATCAAGATGCCCCGGTTCGTCCTGCAAGCCCTGTGGGAGTTCAGTGCCAGCGTCGCGACTTTGAACTTGGACTCGAAAGCGAAAACAGCCCGACTCGAGTGGCAGCGTCCTCCCTTTCTATAAGAGGCCCGCATCGAACTACATCCCCTCCCCAGAATGGAGGCGCGTCTCTGCCTCTTCGAGTCGAAGAGGGAAATCCCCTGAGCCTCTTGGCCCATCCACCTGAGAGGGGAGACTCCAAGTCCAAGTTCCCTCTTCGCCCAAGCTTAAGAACGTGTGGTCTGAGCTTGTCAATGCTAGAAGCTGCTAGAAGCTCAAAGCACGAGGCTTCGGGATCCGACGCAGAGTGTCTCGAGGCCTAAGGCGGGAACCTGTTGTGCGAAGAGTTTCAGACTCACGTGTTGGGGCTAGTTCGTCATGGAGGGTACAGGGTTTAGGCAGCACAACCTCGTTATTGCTGAACATCTGCTTCCCCACCACCTGGTAGGAACCCCATGATTCACTTCGACTTCTCCGCCGAACCCACTGTCTTCGTCACGGAGTGTCCTGCGGTTCAACCTCGCTTCTACAGACTTCTGTCGATCGGCATCAGTCCCGGCTTCATGTGCAGCATTGACCAGACGAACCTGGCTCGGAAACGAGAGCAGGCACAAAGGACGCTCAAGATATGAATCTCTCGCATGTATCTGTGACAATTGAGACTGACAGTGGGCATCGATTCTAGGACTCGGCCGTCGGAAACCGTCATCATGCCGATCATTAGGACCAGTTGAGTAGAGCAAGTAACACAGCTGGAGAAGCCTAACTTTGGCTAAGAGCACATGGAAAACATGAGTCTGCAGTCCAGATGCGCCTTGCCTCAGGTCTGCAGGCTGCATAATCCCAAGAACTACAGACTCAAACACAGAAGACGAAGGATTAATTCTGAATTATTCAAGCACTCCCTGAGGACAGGAAGCTCCAGGACTTCCACAGGATCAAAGGCCCGAACACCTGCATCAACCCTATCCCAATCCCACTGCCGCTTCTTCGTTTGAAGGTACAAACTATACAGTAGGGCCTTTAGGGCCTTCTGTGTCTAGGCCTTTGGCCTTGGTCCTAGAAGAAAGACCCCTGCCTGTCGGTGGGGATCTCTCCCAACACCTGGCGACCACGTCCCGGTCTTGCTTGGATTCAAGTGGCATTCAGTTTGAAGGCTGCTGTGTTGTGCATAGCATTTGGGGCTTACGGCGAAAACGCCGTCTTTCGGGAACCCAGCGGTGAAAAATCGCGGCATGACATCAGAAGTGCCGAGGGATCGAGCGACCGCAGCCTCGATATCCCCTATACCAGCTGCGCAACATGTTCGGGGGCGGCTCATGTCTAAATGCACTGGGGAATGGAAGCGCGCAAGTATGTATGCATGGATTACACTTCTAGTCTTTGATGTAGATGTATGCCCAGCCAGGTATCTACTGGATAAGATTGGACAACTGATCCCACTAGAAAGAGATGTTGAAAAACACGCAGACACGAGTGACACGAACACACATTCATATACCTGCACACATACGCACAGAAGACAAGAAAGTAACAGTTCGTGTATGTATGTGCATATTAGTTTCTAGATGTACGTGCACGGGTGAAACACGAAGCAACCTCGCCGAATCCGAACACTGCTCGGCAAAGCACTTACTCTTGAGTTTCTGGGGGTGTCAGACCGCTCGGAGGATCCCTGGACTTAGCAAGGAAGGTTATACGTACCTTTAGAGGAAATAGAAGTAGTTATAGCTTCCGGTACCTAGTTTATAACCTCGCCACTAAGTCCCATGATCCTCCAGCTAAGCACCCGACCTGGCCCCCTGTGAGTATTGAGATGGTGCCGCTGGTTGCGGGTGGTGGGTGACGCTTCTATAGATCCCTTCGTAAAGCATTCAAAATCGCTCAAAGCGCGGCATGTCTAAAACCCCCGTGTTTGGTTGCATGTTGCACCGGCTTCGGATGTGAACATTGCATCGGCGCCTTTGCAGCGTCGTCTCCTCGGAGTCAGTTCTATGTCACATCCCTCAAGGCATCCGACTTGTTGGTCTAATTATCTACCTACCTATCTATCTATCTATCTATCTATCTGTCTATCTATCTATCTATCTATCTATCTATCTCTCGATCTATCTATCTATCTGTCGATCTGACTATCTATCTATCTATCGAACGGCCGATCTATCTGTCTATCTGTCTGTCTATGTCAGTGTCGTGCCCGTTTTCTACATATCTATCTACATGTCTACCCTTCTATCTTTATGTCTACCTATCTATCCATCTCTCTCTCTCTCTGTCTGCCTGTCTGTCTGGCTGTCTACCTATCTACCTACCTACCTACCTACCTTCCTACCTACCTACCTACCTACCTACCTACCTACCTGCCTATCTAGCTGCCTACCTACCTACCTACCTACCTACCTACCTACCTACCTACCTACCTACCTAACTACCTCCCCTTCTCTCCACGCATCTATCACACTCTCTTCTCTCGCTATATCTCTGTCTCTCTATTTCTCTATCGCTCCATCTATCTACCTATTTATCCAAACATCTTTGTATCTCTTTATCTATCGAACGACCGGTCTATAGATCTATTTACCTATCTATCTCTGTATCTATCTAACTAACTGTCTATCTATCTACCTACCTATCTATCTATCTATCTCTCTATCTATCTATCTACCTATCTATCTATCTATCTACCTATCTATCTATATCTATCTATTTAGCACAGTGCCGTACTGCGGAGCAGTGCAAGGCGAGAGTCATGTGGGTTTCCTACCCCCTAGCGACTTGAGAGCCATGGCTCCCTCGCCTGGCGTGTGCCAGCTTTTCTGCTGCCTGTCTGCGCTGCTCGACGTCTTGCTGAAGCCAAGGGACGACTGCCACGCAAAGGCCGTCTCTGAGCATGCTCGAGTGTGGCCCAGCTTGGGAAGGCGGGATCGCCGGTTCTTGACCCAGTAC